TATTCAGAATCCAACTTATTTCCTTTATGATATTGGAATGCACTAGAACTCTATCATTGACTTTAAACACATTTTGTAATTTAATTTCCCTATTCTCTACTATTACCTTGGCTCTAGCTAAATACAACTCGTGGTTACGTTTCCATAAACGAAATACTTCTTTCTTGCTCATTGCAGTAGTTGCAGCTATTGCACTGGGCAAGTGGGCCCTTCTACCAGAAGTCAACTCAAAATGTATTCATCATATACCCTCATGCATTGCAGTGTTATATCTAAAACAAACTGGGTTCAATATCTCGTCCCTTTTCTACCTTTGTCTCTAGTACAAACCCTTATTAAATCTCCTATTAAGGAGTGTATACGTACCAAGGAGCCATTGCCCTGTCGGTGGAAGCTAGTGGTTTTAATATGCTTTATCTTAAAAGCTTCTTCAAATTACATCAACAACTGACAAAATTCGCGCCTGATCAGTTAGTATCGTCTTCGGTGTGGAAAATACGTAAATATAATAATCCATCAATTCCTCTATTATAGTGTGTGCTTGTTGATTGGCAAGCGGTACAAAGATAACATATTTGGTTAAGACATCTTGTATTGATAATACATATTGTTTACCTTTGCTGGTCATTTGTAATGGTCCATATATATCCATAGCTATTTTGTCATTTGAGTCTTTAGGTGTGATAAGGGATAAAAGCTGGTTCTCTGTTTCTAATTCTCGTCAATTTTTCACGTTGGCAAGTCTCGCATTTACTTATCATATCTTTTATCTCTTTGTTCATGTTAGGCCAGTAGTATTTTTCTTTGATTCTCGCTAGAGTTTTATTTTCTCCAAACTGTTGCAATTGTGAATTGTGGCTTTCCTTGTATACCTGTTCTTTTGTTTGTTCGTCAATTGGTATAATTTTTTCGCGTGATAATGTGTAATTTCTCTTACGGTCTTTAAATGCTAGGTACTGTAATACTTTACTGATTTGGTCTACGAGTTTCTCAAAACATATGTTCTATTATTCCTCTTTGTGTGTAGATTTTGGTTATATCTTTTAATTTTGCTTATGACCCTATTTCTCTAGGGCAATCTACTTCTAATCCATCAATTTGTTTTATTCGGTCCCGATTCATTATTTCCATAAAGTTAGGATGGGTTTCTTGCCTGGATAAAAATTCAATATTATCTCCGAAGTCGGTTATATTACTCGGTTTCATGGCTTCATCATTGCTTCCGATTCCATCGTCTGATTTGTTAATTCGAAGAACTCGTCTGTAGTCTTATCTTTCAGGGTCGTTTTATCTTGTGTCATGTTTATTCGTGACAACGCGTCAGCGGCTAGATTAGCTTTCCCATTATGATATTATATTTTGTACTCGTATTCCTCTAATCTAAGTCTCCGTCTAATTAGCCTTGAAGATGTCTTTAACATTATGTAACCATTTTAATGATTGGTCTGTCCTAATTTTAAACTTTCGTCTTAACAAATATTCTCTTAGTTGTTGTATAGCCAAGACTATCACTAATAATTCTTTTTCAGTTGTCGTATAATGTGTTTCTGCATCATTAAGGGCACGCGATGTATAACAACAAGGATATCTTAAGACAGTATTGCTCCTAATGCCTCATTACTTGCGTTGGTAGTTAGTACAAATTCTTTATTAAAATCAGGATATTTCAGAACTGGTTCCTCACATAATTTGAATTTGAGTGTATCAAAAGCTATCACCAGTCTATCCGAAAGGTTCATCCTTTTTTCATAATTTCGATAATGGTTGAGCTATCTTTGCAAAATTTCGAATAAATTTCCTATAATAACTGACTAGAACTAAGTAATGCTTAATTTCTTTGAGATTACCGTGTGGTCTAAATTCTTTTACAGCTTCAATTTTTTTTTGATTTTGTTTCATTTCATGTTTACTAATAACGTGGCCCAAATATCCTATATCAGGTTTTTAAAAAACATTTTTATCCGTTTGTAACTTCAAATTTAATTCTGTCAGTCGTTGGAGTATTACTGCTAGACTCGTGTTGTGTTCTTCTATCGTTTGTCCAGAAATAATTATATCGTCAAGATATACGAAACAGTATTTGCCAGTTAGTCCTTTCAATGCTTTATACATTAGTCGTTGAAGTTTGCGGGGGCGTTTTTGATTTCGAACGGCATTCGATTATACTGAAAATATCCTTCGGGTGTTGAAAAAGCAGTATATTGTTTTGAATTTGAGTGCATCGATATTTGATGAATTCCGGATGAGCGATCTGATGCCGAGAAGAACTTTGCATTTCCGAGTTGAGACAATATCGTATGTATGTCGAGCAAAGGATAAGCGTCCTGGTTTGTAATTTCATTAAGCTTTCTAAAATTTATAACACTTCGCCATTTTCGATTGCCAATTGAATCTAATTTTTTGGGCACTACCCAGAATGGTGCGTTATATGGACTATCGGATGATTCTATTATTTTTTTATCTAACATTTCGTTAATTTGTTGTTTAATTTCATTTCGATGGCATTCAGATGGTCGATATGACTTTACAATAACGAGCTTGGTGATTTTAATATCAATTTGATGTCAGGTGCAAGATAAACGGTACGTGTATAGAGAAACAGCTGAACTATAACAGAGATTTATTTTTCTAATGGTATCCGTAATCGTGATTCTACATGATATAATCTGATTTTTGTTCCTAACGCTTTGATTGTATCAGTTAAACTTGGATTTTCGATTTCTATTACATCTTGAATTTTGTGTTTTCCTTGACACGGCACTCACCTGGTGTGAGGGTCACGTTAGTACGAAGCGGTATTCCTTTGTTACCTAAAATCAAATGGGTATTGGTTAATGCATGTCTATATTTAGAGATGAAATTTTGGCCAATTATTCCATCTTCTGGGGTAGGGAAAGAATCGGGTACGACATGGAACAGATGTTCTTTTCCTAATATGTTAAATTTGTTTGCGAATTCTGATCTATGAATATCGTTTCCCATTAGAATTTCGTGTTTTTTTTTCTATTAGGTGGATTATCTGTTACTTCTGCTTTATCACATTAATACTTGATCCTGTGTCCAAGACTAATTTTGCAGGTGTTCTGGCGAGTCCTCTGAATCCTCGCCCAATGTATCGCTGCTGTATTCAGCAACAAACGCCTCTCATGGTATCCCAGTGTGGGATAAGTGTCGACATAAGCGCTTCTACTCTGCGTTTGGTTCATCTCACATCGCCAGTTCTGCTTAGGAAAGTTGGCCCACTTGGCACGCTGATTCAATTATATCTCGTGGCTTCATGCTCCAAGCAAGGCAGAGATCTCACCCATTTAATGTTTGAAAATAGGTTGAAGACGTTTATGCCCCAGGGCCACCAACCATTCTCTTTACCAGATGAATCTCGCACGCGTCTTGCAGAAAAACGACCGAGTGACAAATATTTTAAGAAAAACCTCTGAGGGAACCAGCTTCTAATTCTATTAGACTTTCGCACATATACCCAGTTTCGACAACCGATTTGCACGTCAGAAACGCTACGGACCTCCATTAGCGTTTCATCTAACTTCATTTCAACAGTTCACCATCTTTTGCGTTCCAATATGTGGTCCCAAGCTTGAGGTGCGCCTCTTCTCGCAGTGACAATAAGACGCCACGGGAATGCGGTTCCTCATGGTTACGCGGCTTATCTTGGCTCGATCGGCGCGAAGGCCGACTTTCACGTTCATCATCATCTATAAGTTTGTGCATTCCAATGACTCGCGCACATGTTCGATTCATTGGTCCGTGTTTCAAGACAGATCCTGAGAGTGCCCAAAGCAATAGCGTCGCTGACCGGTAACCTGAGGTTTGGCCGATCCGAGGACACCGCCGGCTAATAGCTTGCCAGGCCTGGGAACGGCACTGGGACTGTACATTCTTGTAAGTACTGACCGAGCCTGCGGAGGGTTTGGCACACACACATTCGAGAATGGATTGGCTGCGACCCGTAGTACCGTGGTGAAGCCACCCGGGTGACCGAGTATCTGCTGCGTGTGCAGAAAGGACGCGACATTTTTCCGCTTGGGCCGTGGACCGAAACTCATCGAGTCGTCATGTCCGACTAGGGGAGAAGTGCATGAATAGGACGCAGGATCGTTCAATCCGAAAGATCGCTATTAGCACTCCGTATTATCGTTCAAATTTATCAACTAACATTATATTCCGTTCTTGAAATATAACGGAGATCCAGTACGTGGAAAGAGGTTTACATACAAACCGTACAAAATTTTCGACATCCATGCTGACAACATATCGTACCTTATGGTCTTATATTACGCATCGCATCGTGGCAATCACTATGAACACAATTTTCTTGTACATAAGCGTCATTTAATATTACTTAACGACACTGAAACATCACGGTCTTGCTGTACTTTTCGGTGCTTACATATAACCATTCAAATCGTTCGACATTCATTCTGTTGTAGCATTATGTCATTCTAAGCATTCCGGGGTTTACAATGAACCCCAATTTTTTGTACATAAATATCATCTGATATTGCTAATCTACTCTGACATATTACGTACCTTCGGTACAGTGCTCGTCTTACATATGAAGCATCATAATTTTCGACAATAATTCTGTCAATGTATCACGTTGATCTGATGGACTTATGTTATTTGACGCACCGCAGAGGTGGCAATGAATCTCACTTATTTGTACATAAGTGTCGTCTAATATTATTTACCGAACCTGAAATTTTACGCACCACGTTTCGGGGCTTTCATATGACATTTCAAAATTTTCAACATTAATTCTGTTAATATATCATATCGATCAGAAGTTCTTACATTATTCAAATCATCCCGCAGTTTTCAATGAACTCCACTTTTTTGTATATAAATATCATCTATTCATTATCGATGATATTATTAGATGTTAATTATTGACCATGAAATATTACTGACTTCCGGTACGGTTCGGTGCTTACATGTGACCATTCAAAGTTATTGACATCCACTCTATCAATATATCATACCGATCTGGTGGTCTTATATATTTCTATGCGTCGCGGAAGTCACTACGAACACAATTTTATAATATATAACGACCATCGAATGTTATTTAACGATCCTGAAGTATTACGGTTTTCCGCTACGTGGTTTACATTAGTTCATTGAAAATGCTCGACACCTACTGAATCAATATATTATCTCGACCTGATGGTTATTAATATATTATTTATCGACACTGAAATATTTCGGTTTTCCGGTACGAGGAATGAGGTTTACATGTTGTCATTGAAAATTCTCGACATACATCGTATCAATCATTCACATTATCTGGATCTTATGGTTTTATATTATTCTACGTATCGCGGGGATTACTCTGAACACAATTCATCAAAATATAATAACGGTCTAATATTATTTATAGACTCTGAATACAGTCCTCTGGTACGGATCGTGGCTCACATGTGAGCTCAAAATTTTCAATAAAACTACTGTCGATATATTATATCCATCAGTTCTTCTTATATTATTCTATCCATCGCCGGGATCACTATGAACAAAAATTTTTAACATAGAAAAACGAACTGTACCAATATATTATCTCGATCTAAGAGTCTTTTGTTATTCTACGCTTCGTTGGGATCACTATGGACTCAATTTTTTAATTTATAACAACGATCCAATATTTTTTATCGAAACAAATATCATCCATTATTATTCAACGAGCCTGAAATATTTCCGAGTTCACGTACCAAGAATGATGTTTCCATGTGAAAGTTCAAAATTTTCGACAATAATTTTCTCAATGTATCATATAGATCTGCTCATCTTATATTCTTCTACGCATCGCGGGGATCACTATGCACACTATTTTATTGTACATGAGTATCATCTGATACTATTCACCGAGTCTAAAATATTACAGGATACCGTTAAGTGGATGAGGTTCAAAAATGACGATTCAATACTTTGGACATTCATTCTGTCAATATATAATATTAATCTGATGTTTTTATATTATTTTGCACATAGCGGAGATCCCCATAAACACCATTTTATTGTACATAAATATAATCTTCTATTATTTATGGTGCCTGAAATATTATCGTGACGCGGAATGAAGTTTACCTGTCAAACTTGAAGATTTTCGACGTTCACTCAGTCAATATACTATATCAATCTGCTGGTATGTCAGACTCAACGCATCGCGGTGATCAATATGAACATCTTTTTATAGTACAAAATGTCATCTAACATTATTTATCGAGCCTGTAATTTTAAGTATTTCTGTTACGTTGAATGAGATTTACATAAGACCATTCAAAACATTCGTCGTCACAATCATATCAATCTGATGCTCTTATATTCTACACATCAAGGGAGTCATAATGGACATATATTATTTAACGTAACACAAAATTTGCGGATAACTCAATGTTTTAATATATAGCAAGTATTTGATACAAGTTATCGATATTCAAATATTACGGTACGAGATTTACATAAGCTGATTTGAAATAAAATAAGTTCGCAGTATGAATACGCTATTGCAACCTGATGATTCCATGCCATTCTATGTAACGCAATGTTTACGAAAAAAACTATTATTTAATATATAACCATGATTTTATACAGTCTTAAATTACTACAGTTTTATCCATCATAAATTACTACAGTTCACCGATGCTGTATGAAGTTTTCATATTCTAATTCAAATTTAAATGCATTCGCTGTATCAGTAAATACTCCCGATCTGGCGGAATTGTTCTACGTAACACTAGGTTCAAATACAATTTTTTAATATTTAGCGATGATCTAATATGGTTTGTGAATCATCAAGTATAACGTAAATCCGATAAGTTATATGTTTTACATTTGCTGATTCAAAATTAAATGCATTCGCCTTAACAATACGTTACCAGGTTTTGATTGCCTTATACTATTCCACATAACACAAGGATTACGGAAAACACAATTTTAATAATAATTAAAAAAATTAATAATAAACTACGATATAATATAATTTGTCTTTCATCAATATTATGGTTATCCAATACGGTCTGAGGTTTACATATGCCCATTAAAAATTTAAATGCTTTAGCCTTATCAATATTTTATCTATACTTCATGCCCTTATATTATCCTACATTACAAAAGGTTTACGCAAAGAACAATTCCTTGTTAAATTACGGTCTAATTTAATTTATCTATCATCAAATGTACTCCATAATATGAGTTTACATATGCACATTCAAATAATTTGCCGTTTTATTATATTATCTGTGTGTGATAGACTCATATCATTCTACATAACACAAAGTTTACTTTAAACATAATTTTTTAATACATATCGACAATTTAATATAATTTACTGATTATGAAATGTTGCAGTTCTCCGATAGGAATGATGTTTACATATGCTCATTCAAATATAACAGCATACGAAGTCTCAATACATTATTCTGTTCTAATTGGCTTCTACAATTTCGCGTAACACATGGCTTACGGAATCACAATTCTTCAAAATAAAACGACGATCTATTATAATGTACTCACCATGAAATTTACTGATTTCAGATACGATATAATGTTTACATATTCTCATTCAAAATACATTCGCCGTATAAATATATTGTTTCAGTCAAAGGATCTTACATTACTCTACGAAGCACAACGTTTACTAAGCACAAAATTTTTTAATACAAATATGGTCTAGCATAATTTATCCGCTACCAAATATTACGGTTTTCCGTTACCGTATGAGATTTATATATGTATGTTATAATAATACGCATTTGCCGTATCGGTATATCAATCTCATGGCTTCATATTATTCTACGTGACACAATGTTACGGAAAGCACAATTTTTCAGTACTTAGTTTAGATTTAATTTAGTTTACGAATCATCAAATTTTCTACAATACGAGACTAACATATCAATTAATATGCTTTCGCAGTATAAATATATTGTCTCGATCTGCTTACCTCATATTAATCTACCTAACACACG